ACTCTCTTTTATTCTCCTTCTCTTTTATTCTCCTTCTCTTTTATTCTCTTCTCTTTTATTCTCCTCTCTTTATTTCCTTTCTTTTATTCTCCTTCTCTTTATTCTCCTTCTCTTTATTCTCCTTCTCTTTTTATTCCCCTTCTCTTTTATTCCCCTTCTCGTTTATTCCCCTTCTCGTTTATTCCCCTTCTCGTTTATTCTCCTTCTCGTTTATTCTCCTTCTCGTTTATTCTCCTTCTCTTTTATTCTCCTTCTCTTTTATTCTCCTTCTCTTTTATTCCTCTCTCTCTCTCTCTCTCTCTCTCTCTCTCTCTCTCTCTCTCTCTCTCTCTCTCTCTCTCTCTCTCTCTCTCTCTCTCTCTGTCTCTCTCTCTCTCTGTCTCTCTCTCTCTCTGTCTCTCTCTCTCTCTGTCTCTATCTCTGTCTCTCTCTCTGTCTCTCTCTCTCTCTCTCTCTCTCTCTCTCTCTCTCTCTCGTCTCTCTCTCTCTCTCTCTCTCTCTCTCTCTCTCTCTCTCTCTCTCTCTCTCTCTCTCCTCTCTCTCTCTCTCTCTCTCTCTCTCTCTCTCTCTCTCTCTCTCACAGATTGTTAGAAATTGTTAGAAACTTTCTTTTGTCCATAGTCAAGGACTGAAAAAATTGCCCACATATTCTCAATATTAGTTTTTTTTTTTCTGATGGGAGGATGGTTAAGAATGACATTACAGCTAAGAATAATGTTTAAGAAAATGTTAAAAAAACAATTGCTAATTCATTCATCTTCTTGGACAGCATTCATTGTGGGAGGACGGTGGAAATACTACTGGCTCGGATGCATCTTCCATGGCCTAACGACTGAAATGGTTTCATTTTGGATGCCTGACATTGATAATTACTGGCACTCTCAAACAACAATCATCTTTCTTGGTCGTAGACTTCCTCTTCATATTCCCCTGATTTGTGAGTCATTGATGTTACTGATGTACTTATTGTAGTTATATACTATTTACTCATTACATTACACATATTTGTGTACTTATTATTTATATACTTATTTTTTGTACTTTCTAATGATGATGTGCTTATGTAAGATTTTTTGGTGTAGAATTATAACATAAATCTCCTTTGTACACTTTGTTAGGCTTGATTCAAAATGAAACTAGCATGCTAAATCTCCTAAACATTTTTGAGTTAAGCTTTAACGCAATGTATTGATATATATAGATGTTGATTTTGATATGGCTAAACCAAAAACTTTCTAGGATTCTTGCCCACAGAGTCCATTACAATTTTTTTCCTTCATTGGCACAGACCCTTCATTCATGTATCATGCAGCTTACATGGTTTCTCACATGAAGCTTCCTCGATGGGCAGAACCAATGGCTGGTATGTTCCTCCTGGTTTAGAATGTGTTGGATAGGAATGCACAGTACATGTTTAACACCTTTGACAAGTCTTAGAGGATTGGTTTTAATATGTACATTTTAATGGTTAAGTATCTGACAATTTATTAAGTAACATGAATGAGCAGTTGTGATAAACACAAGAATTGTGATAAACGTAAAACAGATCTGTATAGAATTCAGAATGTCAGATCATGGAGAGCTAATCCTTCCATGAATTTTTTTTTATCTAGCTGGTCTGCTGGAGGTCCTCATTGATATTCCGTACGATATCATGGCTGTGAAATTTGTACACTGGACATGGCACGACACCGATCCTAACATCTACGACCGTAACTACTGGGTTCCATGGAATTCATATTACTTCCATCTCACATTTGGCACTGCTTTCAGCTTTGCCATTAATTTCTGGCGCCGTAAGATCACTGGCACAGATGAGATTGGCAAAGTATCCAGGTAAGACTACAACTTGAAATTTTTCCATTGCGTGAAGGATTGAGAGATGAATATTTATTTATGCACAAAGAATAGTCAATCTTCGGATTACTATTTATTTTTGCATGGGTGAAAATTTTCATGTTATCATAATTTTATATATATTTTCTTTTTATTGCCTACTGTTTTTTGTATAGATTGATATGGAAGGCAGCAAATTAATATAATAATTCACCAAAGACTTTATATATAGCAGTATTTCATTTATACTTGTAAGACATTCAGTTCAGAAATATTTCATGCTCTTACAGTGTTGGAAAGGAAATCCTCTGTGCCCTACTGGGAGGCCTTTGTGGAATGCCTGGCGGTGTTATACAGTTTCTGTTCCTCTACCATCCGCTCCATGACACCTATGGTATCCATACAGAAAACTGTGTGATTATAATTGTGGTTGTATACATGCTGATTGTCTGGACTGCTGACCGAACCCCACGATTAGCTTCTCGCAAACAGAAAGGTGAGTTTGAATGTCTTGATGTCTGTCCTGTTGTGCTGTTTCCTCCTCCTTTTTGCTTTCTTCGTGCTTCTTACTTCAGGTCAATGAGGCAAGCAAAAACAGATTCCTTTTATTATTTCAAATTAGGTCAGTTTGATCATTATTAGAACTTAGCAGTTAATTTTCACAGTTGGCTATCTATGATTAAAAAAGTTGATGAAGTAACTGTTGAAATATTTTGTGTAACTTAAGTAGCATAGTGATGAATTTTGCTATAGCTGTCTTTTTTATATGAAAATTATTTTGTCAGATTTTTGTAATTTTTCTGCAAAAAAAAATTCTTTGTACTAAAGCCTAAGCAAGTGTTGCCACTGAAGAGAAAAAAAAGAATGTCACTGATTATTTTGCATTACCCCTTTGGATCCAGGTGCTCTGCTGCCTGCATGTGGCCTAAAACCCGGGAATTAGGCTGACTTAGGTGGTCACTCTCACTGGTGTGTGGCATGTGGGCCAACCACATGCAAACATTTGTGTGCAGTACCAAGACTCCTTGTCTCCCCTTTGTCTTGCCTTTTTCAGCATAAGCATATTTTGCTTCTTCTTTTTTTTCCATTTTCCTATGTCTTTATTTGTAATTTGATATGCTGCATCCAGATGATAGAAGACTGTTTTCAGTACATTCCACACTCATTTACTAAGAGGAATAAAGCAAGATCCCCTTCCTAAATGCCCACTGAGTCTAATCACCCTCCAAGATCTTTGTGCACTCATGGTGAGTCATTCTTGTGACCCCAACATTCAGCCAAAATTCTCGTAAGGGCATGTTACCATCACCCTGGTCCTCAGCCAAATTTTTCTTTGACATCATGGTTATGTCATCCGGCTGTCAAACCAAAGTTTTCATGGTCATTATTGTGTCTTCTGGGTCCAAGGGATTAAAAAAAAATCTGTTTTTCTTTTTTTTAATAGTTCAGGGATCAACAACAAGGAAATTTTACACATAAAAAGCACAGATCCCACAAAGTTTGTACTTTCCTCAAAGAATCAACATGAACACAGTTATCAGATAGAAGTGAATTAACATAATTGTTGTGTACATACAATATATTATAATCATGACTATATCAGTGCCCAGTTTCAGTGATCAAATCATTCATCAATTCCTTATTGAAAAAGGCTGGAATCAACAAATTTGATTACATTTGAAAGGGTCAGGAATGTTTGTGTACACTTCCAGCAACAAGTTATATCATAGAATGAGATACAAATGTTTGATTGTTTCTGTCAACTCCAGTCATTAGTACTTTATGTAGAGTTTGGTATCAGTTTCTCTACTTATTTTTCAGTGAAATGAATTTCAAAGTTGAACCTACCCTTGGAGTGGGAGATAATTTGTTGGCAAAAACTGGTTACCCCCATTTAAGTGGACCAGTGTATAGTTTATATAATGCATATTTATTTTTCTGCAGGTGAACATTTAAATACCGTATGTCTTCATCATAAAGATAGTTTTATGTTAGCTTTGATTTTTTTGTTATCTTGCCTACAAAGATTTACAACTTCACAGGTGAAAAGATTCACTGGTCTGCACTGATTATTGTTGTAAATATGGTGCTCCACTATGGCCTCTACTGGTGCATGGCTGTGTTTGGCAATCCGGAGGACGAAGTCTCCATTGGCTTGCACGAGCGTACAGGAGACTGTGATGAGAAAACTAATGTCTACACTGCAATTGGCGGAGTGAGTTTGAATATTGCTTTGAGATTTTTTTTAGCTATCCCATCAGATTTGTAATAATCAGAATGAAACGTCTTTATTCTTAAAATATACATTGGTGTTCCCCACTGTACAGCAAGCAGGAAGTCCACTCTCTGTGAAACGGATCAGAGTCAAAGTCAAAGATAACAGGCGTCTTTTCCACTATCAAATTCGTGTGAGAAAATCCCGCCTACTTGCCCGAGTCCAAGTTCTCTGGTTTCAAGTGCAGTTCAAAATATCATTCAAATCCCAAAATATAATTTGTTGATGTTCAAGGTATGATGATGTGCATCCCAGTAGAAGTTGAATATGCTTATATACATATATTGTGGGGCTTTTTGATAGGTATATTAATCTCTTCCAGTGAGCTTTCTGTACCACCTTTTCAAGAAAGGCCTAATGCTTTAGAAGCAGATGTGTAGGTATATATAGTAGTAACATTATAGCATGATATTAGATGACATGATTTCCTGGTACTTTTATTTTTTGGCTTTGTTAAAGCATTTAAAGATGTAATTCCTTTTAGTTACTCCTTTTATTTATTTATTTTTTTTAAGAACAACCTTCATAGTTTTATTTCAGGTATTAATTTGTAGAATTGAATATTTGAAATTGACTTTACAGTTGGATACAAAACCATTGTAAAATGGTTTGGCTCTAAATTCATTGTAGTGATTTCACAGAATCTATGTCATACTGGTTTATTTTAGATCATCACATTAAAACTGATGTTATGGATTTTTTTTGCCTTACCATTGTTTATATTCTTTTTAAAACCACTATTAAAACATTTGTGAAATTGTAAAGGTATTTATTGGAAACGTGAAATAGTAAAGGTATTTATGGGAACTATGAATCATTGGTTCACTTATTCCATATTAACTTCTGATAATTGTTACACATAATTTCCATAAAAGTCCAAATGCTTAGGAATCAGCCTCTCTTCCAAATTTGGTATTTGTTATAGCTTTTGTTATGAATTATTGAGACAATAGCAACCCCCTCCCCCAGGTTTTAGAGAGGCGAACTTACCTGTGCACAAGCGACTATGATGAGAAGTACTTTGATTTCCGTTGCTTACCCGGAGGTGAGCCCGTAAGCGATGGAGTGGAGTGGTACACCATTTGCGGCACCCCTTTCCCCAACCGAGCCGAGTATATTGCAGCAATTACTCTCGTCTCAACTGTTGCCTGCTTCGTCTTCTACAATATGCTGTTCAGAAGTTCAAGGACACTGGTTTATAAGACTGAGAAGAAACAGAAGACCAAGTAATTTTTTGTGTGAAAAATAAATTTGATAGTGTCCACTAATTATGTTTTTTGTTCATTTATCTTGAGATGTGAAAGATTTTGGTATTTTTGGTCACAGTAGATAATTTGATCACTAATTAATTTAATAGACTATCTTTTTGACTATTTTAATGAGGAAGTTCTTTTAAATAAAGTGTTCTCTGATCAAATCTGTTGCTTAAAGGTACAAAGATATATGTAATAAAAGTAAAGAACACAGTATACAATTTTATGGATATTTTTCTAAAAAAAAAAAGGGTATTATTTTTTATTCTATATAAGAGCATACATGTAGCAATTAATATGCTCATGCAAAATGTGTGTTAAACAGTAATAAAAAGGAAATTAAGTATATATATTTTTTTTATCCTAATATACCAAGCAACCTGGGTGTGTGATTCAGAAATTTACAGATGGAATATTGTAGATATAATTGTAGCTTGATGTACAGTATGTCACAGAATGACATATATTAGTAGTTTATAATAACACTCAGCACCCAAGATTCACAAGCAAGGGCCCCATTAGTGTGTCCCAAATGCCAAAAAATGGAAAAGATTGCATCAGGAAATAATATGCTGAAAGTTCTGTCAAATCAAAGATTGAGATCATAAATCAGATTTCCATACCAAGACAGTAAGTATGGAAATCCTGGGATAATTGTACCCCTCTTAGACAAGGGAGAAAAAGGTTAAGCATGTCCAGAGGCGGCAGGAAGAGTGGAATGGGAAAAGTGCAAGTCAGGACCAAAGGGAGAAAGTTGGTTGATACAATGCAGAATAAAAGGCTTACTGGTTGGATGTGGTACCAGGAGCACTGGAGCTGAATTTAAAACTCTCCCATGGCATAGGCACCAGGAGAAAGGGTAAACGATTAATCACAAGAGCATGTTATTAACCCAATGCCGATGGGAAACTATTATCACATAGTGTTTTTTTAAATGTTCTGCACATAGATGGCATCCTCCAGTGCTTAGCCACCAAGGAGTCAATTAGTAGATCTTGTAACACCTTGAAATAGCGGGAAAATGCTTTATTACTTTTGTTATAATTATTATAATTGACTAGTATTAAATACTAGGAAATATCGAGAATGGAAAATGAGGTGTAATTGGCTCAATGGTAAAAACAATTACTAAATCAAACACAGTGGGCATGCATGTACGCACACGCCATCCCCGGCAGCAAGTGGTTAAGGGTATTGGAGGTGTAGAGAATATTTGACATCGATGAGTATCAAGCTTGAAGTTGAAGCATGTGCTTCACAAGTGGGATGTTAAATGGAGCAGAAAGATCTCTATTGAAGTTTGATAAGTGATTCCCAGTAACATTATTGACACCCATAAAAGCCATAAAAGGACATCCTTTATTTGCCTATATAAATATTCCTTTGTCTGACAGTCCTTGAGAAATTACAAGACCCAGACAATGGACCTCGAGGTGGCATTTTTCAAGACATCAAAAAAATGCATAGCAAATTTAGACTGCTCCTTTTGTGGTACAAGCTGGGCTCATTTCGCTCATTCAATCTGGCTTTTTCTCTCTTTCTTTTTCTTTCTTTCCGCGCCCTGTCCGCCCACCAAGAGGGCCCGAGACTCCACGAACGCTTCCTCTCTCTCTGTTCTCTATATGTATATGTATATGTATATGCATGATCAATCAGTAAAGTTGCCTGAAAAAAAAATTGTCAAGTAAAAATATGTAGAATAACAATCATAAATATATACAAAAATAGGGCATTTATGTGCAGTAGACCACTCCTGTTTTCTACTAGCGTTCACGCGCACACACCAAAGTGCTTCTCTGGACCATTGCTGCTGCGGTGTTGGTGGTCTTCCAAACACAATCGCATCAATGGGGCCACACGGTTCTGTTCTAACCGCCGACACGTCTACATTAGGGTTTCGGCCAAGGTGAAAATAACAATTTTTCTTTTTCTTTGTCAGGGAATGTGGCGTACCCCCTCCTCATGCAAGTGTATGGGAGAGGGAATGTAACTCGGAAATGAAGGGAAACGGGATAGATTTTTTCTTTTTGTTTTAAAGCTGTTTTTTCACTTTCGTTTTCCGTGGATGAACGTTGTTTGTTGTTGACAGAGGGGGATTTTATTATTGTTGATAGACTGAAATGAAGCAGAAAGTCGGGTTAGAAGTATATCATTTTGGTTAAAACAGAGAGAGAGAGAGATAATGATAATGACGGAAAGGGAGGAGATTGCACCTTTGTCAATGAATGTGGTGCTTTGCGTGTTATTGGGCCAAAATGTACATTTTCACCGTTTTCCTTTTTCTTTTTTTTCTTTTTTCCCTTTTTCTGTTTTGATTTTTTGTTCTTTTGTTTAACGTTAAGGTATGAGAAAAAGGGGAAATACAAAAGGTATGACGAGAGAAAAGAGTCAAACCGATCGCAGAAAAAGAGGAAAACGAAAAAAAAAGAGTGACAGAAAAATAGGGATCTGCCTCTGCTTCTCCCTCATACTCTGAGAGGAGAGTAAAGAAGGGAAGAGGCGAGGATGAGGAGAGGAGAGAAGGAGGGAGGAAGCGAAGAGGAGAGCGAGGAAGGGGAAAAAAGAGAGGAGAGCGCGCCTTCTGCCGCCCCCCCCCTCACCCCCCGTCTCCCTCTCCCTCCTCTGGACCTTGTTCAGCCAGTCACCTCCTTGCCTCACCCTCTTCCTCTCCCCTCTGCCTTTGCTGGTTCTTTCTTTTTTTCTTTTTGTTGCATTTGTGTGTGTGTGTGTGTGTGTCGGTTTATGTGTATTTTTAAATGTATATTCGCGGGTGTTTCTCTTTTACACATCCGCTCTCTCCGTCAGGCATCCGGCCAGACACGAACCAGGAACCATTTCGCATTGCATATTCCTCCTGTTGGGTCAGCTCCCTGGTGATATGGAATTGTTTATGCTCGGCGGGCTTAAAGGGGGAATTGGTTTGCAGAGCAGGCAGACATCGCCCCTCAAAAGCATTATCAATCTTGCGTCAGGGCTTCCAATCGGGCCAACCCCTCACTGGTCGGGATCCTTTCCTTGGGATCCGTCTTAAGGAATTCCAGAGCGATCCGGCAGAGATCCTCTGGAAATTCCATTTTCTTAGAGATACGGGAAAGGAGGTAACCTAGTGAATACAGGTCCTGCGCTGGTGAAGTGCGGTGCTCCTGGAACATTTCAGGAGCTACCCAGCCGGCCCGCTTACCCTCTTGGGGTTCCAATACATAGCGGCGGCCCTCCTAATTGGCATTTCCAAAGTCAATTAGGTGGACTTTGCGGTTGGCGTCGAGGACTACGTTGTCCTCTTTCAAATCTAAGTGCATGGCGTTCTTGCTGTGAATTTCAGCTACACATTATAGTACTGAGGCGGCAAGGGAGAGGAGCTCTTCATCCGGATGCTCCTCTTATAAATAGTCATGTAGTGTCAGATGCCCTTCAAGCGTTATCAGTTGCGCAGGGGGGCGAAGGCACAGTCCGAGGGCTATGGGCGCTCCGCCGGCGCCGCGCAGTTCTAGGAGATAGTCAATCTCCATGTACAGGTTTACCAGGCTGGTGTCGCCCCTCGGCCTCTTCAAGACTGCCTCGAGGCCCTGCCAGCGTACCAATGAGGCGGTGCTGTGTGCCCCTTTCCCTAGCTTCTTCTCCACTTTCTTTAAGCCATCCACTTCGGATGGCTTCATCATAGGGAACCCCTCCCTCTTTAATTTCACCTCCAAACGGGCGCACTTAGCCGCATGGTCGCGAGCTTTTTGCACTCGCAGGGCGGTAGGCGAAATTTTGGCCTAATTCCATGCGATCGTCGGAATTCGAAAGGAACGGGCTTCGTCGGAGCGGGCTTCGTCGTTCGTCGAACAGAGAAAGATAATAATAATATGAGTATGTGTAAACAAATATGTATGATTATGCGTGTATAGATAATATTAACCTATTTATCTTTTTATGTGGTATGTGAGTTTATGGATGTGTTTGTCTAGTTACAATGTTTTTTTCTTAATTGTATTTAATATCTTCACTTCACATGTCTGGCGATTGTCTCCACAGCTGAGTGAAAGGTAATTTCTACACTTTCACTCTTACTATCACCATCATCATCGTCATTTTCTTATTACTATCACTAAAGGGACGGTCATCGTGACGTCACCAGTGCTATCACGTGATCAATCGGAGGCAGCGGTGGGCAAAAACAACAAAATCTCACGTTCGTTATTAAGTATTGGCCTGTCGCGAACATCGTCCCTTTTTTCTCGATTTATATGATTCGCAACCTTTTCACCCTTTTCTAAGAAACCGACATGGTAAACAGTTGCATTATTTATTGGATGTGCAGAGTAACGACAAAATGGTTCAACTTTCAGCCATCAGAGAAAGAAAGGATCTGGTAAGCTGTCTGTATATCTTTAGAATACTGAAGTTTTTCATCATGACATTTTTTAGCAACTAAGTCGAGAGATCTGTAGTAGGTTGACATCGTTCTCACAGCTGATTCAGCGGCCATTGTTAATCTTCTGCCTACCAGTGCTGTGAAAAAGCGTTGTTTTTGTTTTGATGACCGTCCCTATTGGAGTTTTTTTTTTTTTTTTTTTTAGATTTATGTTTTTTCCTATTCAAATCTGTTTAAAAAATATCGCTATTTAATATAATTCTATTATTTACCACATAATGCTAAGCAACTTACTATTGTCATCGTCACTGCTACTCATAGTTATTTTTAGACTATCTATAATATTTTTATTAATTGTTTTCATAACTGTAAACTAGAAAATAACCAGTAATAATTACTGGCAATAACCACCATCAATTATTTATTATGGTATCACTAAGCACAATAATAACAACATAAGAAAAATATTAGAAAAAAAATCAGATATAAATGGTTATCAAACATCAAATAGAAAAAAAAAAACTGTGCCAAGGATTGGAAAAAACACAAATAATCTTTCATTGTTTATTTGAAATCACACCATACGTATGTACATAGTTGGGAAAAATATGTCAGGTGAAAAGTTAAGTAACATTTTGTGCTAAATATTTTGGTTTCCAACTTACGGTCTAATATGTAGATATATATACTTCACTGAGTTCTGTATAAGTGTGTTACTGTACTGTAATTTGTGTTTAATATTTTTTTAAACCAATAAACTTCTTAAGATGTTGTGTACCTAACTTTCACCTCGAGAACATTTACAAAAATTCTTGTGATTTACAACATTAACAATTTAAAAATACTGTCTATTGCTAGATACAAACTTGCGATTGTAAAATAACACTTAGTGTTGTACTTAGGTCAGTGTATCACAGTACATAATAGTTAACGAAGAGGAAAGGACTCAAAAGTTTGATCAAGCAACCTTAACTCAACTAGATGTAGCAGTGGAACCTTTGGTGAGCCGAAAGAGCGTCTTTGATCTGTGCGATTTCCGTCTTGGTCTTTTGTCGATTTTGTTGGAAAAGACAACAAATCTATTGTAAATAAAGAGTAGCATTAGCAGAACTCGTTATATATTATTTCTTAATAATTTATGCGTTATAGTTTGAGAAATATGATGCGTTAAAAAAATATTGAATCTGGGACTTGGGACAGTCCTGTTCACATGATTGTTGTGGGAGCGTAACTCGAATAAAAACTTACTAGAATATATGCAAGCAATTCTGAACGATCTTTCTAAGTCCTGGGAATCGTAAAGATCAAGTTGACAAAACACAGCGACAAAGCTAAGCATCAAAATATTATTAATATTTATGTATATTTTTTAACGTGTGTTATTTCCATCACGATGCCGTCCTTCGAGGCAAAGCATAATTTCGATAATTTCATCACCTGTAACTCGGCTATTCCATTAGTCTCGTCACAGCTTCGCTACAATTACTATTTTGCTCCACGTAATTTTTTTAAGCTGAAAGTATTGTCTCGCTCTCTCGAACTCACACGGTTAAAAATGTTTGGAAAGAGAACATTCATTTTATTTTTTTTACACCTTGATTGTCACGCAATTCAAATTTCATAATAATCCAAGGAAATTATTCGTGTAATAATCTATTGTTATGAACAATTACTAATAGCTCCTTAGGCCATACAATGCAAAGAGGTAAAAAGAAGATTGGACTCGAGAACCAGCACACATGAAGAAACGGAGAAATGCTGACGGAAGCCAAAGATACACATATATTTGTTTTAGCAATCGAGCTCTGTGAACCCCGTTGCGTCAGAAAGGGGATCTTGAACCGCCTGAGGAAATGTACCTAACAGAATGCGAACAGGAGACCTAAAACAGCACGTAACAATGTTCAACTCCATACTACTTGAATTAAAAAACGCGCCATCTATAGGTACTGTACTTTCGTTTATTTTTTTCTTTCTTCTTCACATTTATATATTGCTAATAAAAGGTATTGCTCGTCTTTAAAATAGTTTTCTTTTAAATTCTGACATTGACAATAAAGATGAGATTCTTAGTATCTATTTACAAACCACATACAGCTTATATATTGCTTACTCGTACAAATTTGAAGTGTCATACTTGCGTTTTCAGGATATTTTAATATGTATTATTTATATATATTCTGGTCACAAAATAATATTCCTTAATTCGAAACTTTCTACGATACGTGGAAAGTGCCAATCTAAAGTTAAATCATCTTCAAAAATCCACCATTAAATTACTTTTAAAGCAACATTTCTACTTTCTAAGAAATCCGTGCAATTTCGACTAATATCAATCTTTCACGCTGTCTTCAGGAAATGCATGAACTACCACCGTGCGTTTCACTTCAGGGTCGCCATGCAGTTGCTGAAGTGCCGATTTTGGAACAAGAAAGTCTACCATAAAAAATTAGAGGAATTTCCACATTCACTGTCGATCGTACAGACAGTATATCGAAGAAAGAACTACGACTGACTGAACTGCTTATGAAAGATAGGTCCCAACACCACTTAAAGTACATATATATTTTTTCCTTAAAGGTTTCGCATGCCGTGTAATATAAGATATCCTGTACACTGACACGCGGTATAAATTTACCTATAGGGAGAGAGGCACGGGCCAGGATCACAGAGGAACAAGGTTTAGGAGGCTGTAAGATAGCCGTGGTTTGATGGTCAGTGTGTGCAAGGTACTTTTAGAGACCTCGAGTGTATGTACTGTAATAGCAGAACCTTGTTGGAGTTCGTGTGCGCCAAAAGAGAGCTCCCGGCGTTTTGAAGTTTTGTGGGATCTTGGGTATTCAGGTGTGTGTGTGTTTGCTTGGGTATTTCGCAACGGAGAATTATCTTTGTTTCTTCTTTCGCGGGATGATTTCAGGTCCAATGAAGAGAGAAAATCAAGCATGCTGAATATCTTAACGCCATCGTTATGTATCTATACTTCCTGGTAGTATACAAAGCTGAGGTTGTCACATCATAAAACATGCAGGTCAGAAAAAAAAACATTTAAGACGCCAGGAACCATCTACCTAACCAGACCTAACAAGCTTGGGCGTGAATACGTACTCATTCCCTTTATAAAAACAATAAAAAGTCTCTGAAACAAGGACCGAACACCGCCCCCCAAAAAGCAAACACCAAGATCCCTTAAAGTTCCTTGTTCTTCGTGCCATTAATGGGTGTTCCCGGCGGGTGAATGTTCATCTGCTCGAGCCCGAAGGAAGAGAGCACCACATTGTCCACGGAGATCAGAAACACGAAGAGGAGGATAACGTTGTTTAGGATGTCCGCGACCGTGTGCTGTTTCGGGTCGTTAATGTCCATCCCGCCAATTATGAGGAACAGCACGCCCACCAGGACCTGTAATTCCACGGGGAAGGTTATTGAACTCTTATAATGCCACGGGGTGTGGTTACTACAGGGGAGCATCAACGGGGGGGGGGGATTTAAACAGCTAGGAACTCTTATAATGCAACGGGGGGGGATTTAAACAGCTAGAACTCAGCAGGGGGGGGGGGCAGCTAGGAACTCTTATAATGCCACGGGGGGGGGGGATTTAAACAGCTAGGCCACGGGGGGGGGGGGTTATTAAAGGGAGCTCAACGGGAGGATTTAAACAGTCAGGACTCATAATGCCACGGAGATGGTTATGAAAGGGAGGATCAGCGTGTTGTTTTCTTAAATAGCTGAGGAAATTCTTACAATACCACAGGGTTGGGTTACTCTACCATCAGAAAACACAGAGTGAATTCCATGATCTAACAGACACAACTGTTCATCTGAATATCAGTTGGATGGATGGGGGATGGGGATAACATTCTGACAAATGCTCTGACACGATTTATTAAAATGGAAAAAGGCTATGTGAGACTTCAAGATAAGACGCCGGTACAGCTGGTCCTCCTGAAAACGGGATATGAGAAGTACTTTTAATGAAACAAAGGGTAGACGTTAGAGGAACATCTTAAGAGACTTGAAGAGTGTCTCAACATGCGGTTATTCGTAAGGAACTAGACTCGAAGAACAAAATGCGACGGCGGAAGGAAGTCTTTTCTTGAAGGTAACACAAGAGCAGGTGCCAGAACACGGGGGTTAATTACAGGTTAATTACAGGTCATACGAACTACCGTGACTGTCATAAGGGCTGGTGGGCGGCGAGGAAAAGGGGCGGGGGCATCACGCTCCGAGAACAAGACCGAAAACAACAAGGTCTGTTTACTCGTGAACTTTTAAAACAGCGTGACGGGCATTCAAAACATGCCTTGAACGTGTTTCTCCAGCAATCAAAATGGAATCCAAATGCCGTTGTTGTCCTTTCCTTCCTTGGTTTCAGAACGTGGTGCCGAGAGATGGAAAGCAAGCAGTCACAGAAGCATTATTTCCTTACTGTTAAAGCTGTTAGGGGATGAAAGTGTCTCCGACTCTCTCGCCTTGGAACCCATAGTCGAATCCCATCTTTATGGCGTCTAGGGCTGTGATAAGCATGACGAGGCCGAGGGTCACGTGATTGAGGGTCACCGCTAGCCTCTGCTTTGAGGGATCATTGATACTTATAATTGACAAGCCCGTCAGCAGCGCCGCCGTCAGTCCCTATGACAGACAACAGAGTTACGAAAGGTACGAAGACATGCTACGCCTATAAAAGCTGGTGTTTTTTTAAAGTAAGTCGCTGTTGAACGAACTGACTGCTTTCGACGCATGAGTGAAGAGGCCTAGCTAATTATATGGGGGCGTTTAGGCTATATACAAGCTCGTGAGTTTTGGAATTTCCTCGAACTTGATCTAAAAGAAACATTCCTAAGGCTGATCCACAGACGAGACTGCTAAATGGAGACATCAAAAGCATGGTTTCGGTCGTGTGTTCACAAATCATACTGTTTATTACACGGCGGATGCATTCAACACGGCATGAAATGTTATAGAAAGACAACAAGGTGTAATACTTCTTTTATTTTTCATGAATCATGGCCAAACCTATATATAAAAAAATAAAAAGGTGCTTATCAAGACTACCATAAACATTCACTGTCTGTACCCAGGACTTTCCTAAACAAATTAGCACCTAAAACTGTAATAAACATAATTACTCAGTTAAAGGTGGGTGTTGCTCTATTCAGTTATCTATGCCATGATAGAGCACTTCTGTAGCCTTTGTTGCGAGACATTTCACACACACACACACACACACACACACACACACACACACACACACACACACACACACACACACACACACACACACACACACACACACACACACACACACACACACGTCACATTTTTTCCATGGGTACTTATATTGTACAGACAAACCCGTGTTTTCGCCAAAGGATTCTTACGGGTAGAGGTCGCCTTCGCAAATGAACAAAATCATCTTGTTGCAAAAACAAGGAATTGAACACTATCTATAAGAATCCTTAAGTGGCGAAATGTTCAAGGTTTGGGTAATTGAGTGCCTTGCAACTTGGTTACAGAATATAAGCAGATCTTGGCACTTTATATTTAATTATTTTTTTTAAAGTGGCGATGACCACTGACAGGATATATTAAAAGCATGAACTTATGACTTTTATCATCTTTTCTTAATCATAATACACAATCATTTCTAGTCAAGCATGATTTCCGGCGATTTAACCCACATATCTTACAATTATCAAAAAAGTAAGAAAAAAAATCGCACGTCAAAAAGCGAAAAAAATAAATAAAAAAAAACTTGAACCCACCTACAAAAAATAAAAGTATAAAGAATATAAAAAAAAACTGAAAATATAAACAGAACAAAAGCGAATCAGCTGATGAAGTATCGGATCCTCTTCCCGCCGCCGATCCTTTGTTCCGACTCCACTAGAAGACGGACAAGGCCACCGTTCCCGAGGGGTAAATTCCAAAGCCACTGATGAGGATGTTAAGGGCCGTGATGATGAAGACGCAGATGATATTGACGTGGTTGATCACAAGAGCAGAGATTCGGTACTGAGGAAGGTGCAGGCGGCAGTCGCGGAGCATGGACAGCGAGAAGGAGAGCAGACCCACGAGCAGCTGCGTGGACACTTTCATGTTATTACGAACCTCAAGAGACAGATAGCTATGCATCTTATTGCTATTGTTTATTGTTATTGTCTCTGCTGACTTGACTCTCCGAGCCTTCTATGATTCTAAGAAACTCATTTTTTTTGTCTCTCTCTCTCTCTCTCTCTGTTTACTGGACACTGCCATCTATGTTACAATCAGCTGATTAGGTCGTACTCTTTCTTTTTTCTCTATCTAGTTGGTAGTTAGAATTAATTATGAATAGCTTACTTTAAATTACCTGATTAGTGTACATGTGCATAGTTTCAGAAAATGTGCAATGTGCTCTACCACAGACTATTTTTTTAAATTTAGAGACAGCTTCTTAAAATTATTTACAGATTCATCTTAAAATTATTAAAAAAATATATGACATAAGAACTGAGCTCCAGAAAGATTGTTGTTATTATTACTGACAGAATGTTAGTAAATTCATCGTTATGAGTAGTTCTCGGTTAGATCGATATTATTATAGCTGTTAGGAAATGGCAAGACTTAAGAGTGCACTTGGAGATGCAATAATAGGACATGCAGTTGGAGTCTTTGGGGGGAAAAATGTCTTGCCAGAATTGGATGTGGTTTCTCGAATTTTCTACCAAGTTCTGCTCACCATAGGCCTCGGTTAATAGTAAAGCAGGTTAGTTGGCATCTTTGTTAGTGCTGTGTAAAAATTGTCTCTACAATTAGTAAGGTCCATGTACAAAGTGTGGTATGACAAGGTGGCTGGCATCTTGGAAAGCCAATAAATCTAAATTTTGACTTTTTTTTTTTTATTACGAAACTTCACTTCCTAAAATTTCACCAAATCTTACGTCCAAAGACCGAATAAATCAAGTTCCAATTCATAAATTGACCTTACAGTACCACAGCAAGTTAAAATCAGTCCCATGCATGATGACAACAAACATGGCTTGGACAACATCACTGCTTCTCTATTAACACAAACATCCATGCAGACAAACTAAAAAAAATGCATTTAACCTTTTTTTTCTCTTATTTTTCTCTCGCTCTCATTTTGGGGGACCACGCGTTCAATCTTCAGAAGGTCAGAGTCGACATATCAGAGGGTAAAATGCCAAACCCAGTGATGATGACGTTCAATACAGTGATGACGTAGACAAGGATGACGTTGAGGTTGTTGATAACTGTTGCAGATATGCGATAATGGGGGAGGTGCAGCCGACAGTCACGGAGCATGGACAAACTCACCGATAAAAGCCCGACCACCAGCTGCATGGGTATCAGGCCACCGAGCTTAGTGTGGGATCTCAGGGAACGGGATGGGATGTGTCGATGGCTTGCGTAAGGTATGTAGTGTGTATGTCAGTGTAGGTGAAAGTGTAGTGAGTGAGTGAGTGAGTGAGTGAGTGAGTGAGTGTGTGTGTGTGTGTGTGTGTGTGTGTGTGTGTGTGTGTGTGTGTGTGTGTGTGTGTGTGTGTGCGCGCGCGTGTGTGTTAAAATGGGCTTATGGATTCGGTGGGAAGGCGAGGCTTATCATCTACGAATATTTGGTGAACACATACTACTATTACTCTACGAAGTAAATCAAAATTTGGCTACACAGTCACAAGTTCCTTCCAGCCAAGTGGACTGTCTCTTACGATCTATTTCCTTAAGATTTAACACATAAAAGGATCTATTTAGGCGACAGTGAAATCTATCTGTGACCGATAATGTGTACTTTCACCTTACACATAACAAAGTGCCCTAAAAACACACCCTTTATCTACTTGACATCTAAGCTCGTGACACTTGACAACTACCTATATAATTTGTCAACACAGACCGTCATTTTTTGCCAATGATGATAAAAAAGCAGAATAATTACTCTGTTAAAACACGTAAATTCCCTTTCATGGCCAATGCATTTAGTGCTCTATGGACCCAAAGGGATTGTTCTCTGAATATAATAGTTATTCCTAAAAAAAATAAACCTAAACTTGTTAATCGTTTAGAATTAATAAGCAGTCAGATTCACACAACGTTATCAATCTAATCTAACATAGAAAACGGGAAACATATAGGGACTATAAGGGTGAAAATGGGAAAATAACACGATAACCGCTGGGATTAGGCATGTTAATAGTGTGCAAGCTGAAACGTTATTCATAAGAAAAATATAAATCGCCTCAAAAGAACCGAAGAATGAAAGAATATATAAGACCAAAAGAGAAAAAAAACAATTAAAAAAAAATGCTAATAAAACACCTTCAAAGAACACCTGAAGAAGAAAGAAAAGAAAGAATCAAAGAAAAAAAGGAGAGAAAGAAAGAAGAGACTAAAGAAAAAAAAAAGAAAGAAATAGAAGAAAAAATAAGAAAAAATGAAGAAAATAGAAGAAAAAAAAAAAAAGAAAAATGAAGAAAATAGAGAAAAAATAAGAAAAAAATTTAAAAAATAAAAAAAATAAAAAAATAAAAAAAAATCCGAAGACTCGAGCCCCACCTGCAGCACCAGCGACGTGATGATGAGGCCGAGCATGAGGCTGTAGAACTCGTGCTTGTCGCCGATCCTGAGGACGTACTTGAGCTGCGAGGCGTTGGCCGTGAGGAGGGCGATGTCGAGCATGCCCTGCGCGACCGTCTTCTTGGTGGCATAGCGGTTCGCGTCCAGGGTTTTCCCGCCCTGTTGGTGGGGGAAAAAAGGTTAGTGAAAAAGCGCTCTTGGAAATGTCGACTATGGCCTTCTAAAAAATAATAATAAAAAAAAAAAAAAAAATTGTGGAAACGTGTTGTTAGATATTATATATCATTAGGGTTCATTGTTTTTTCCCCCCCGCCCTGTTGGGGAAAAGAGGTTTGTGCGAAAGCGCTCGTGGAAATATCGTCTATGGCCTTCTAGAAAAAAAAAAAAAAAAAAAAAAAGAAGGTTTTGTGGGTGTTAGAAATGGTATCATTCGGGTTTATAGTTTTTCCCGCTATATCGACTATGTCCTAAAAAAATAAATAAAATAAATAAATAAATAAATGAATAATAAATAATAAAAAATTTTGTGGAAGTGTTGTTAGAAATATATCATTCGGTTGAAAAAATGGGTTGTGGAAAAGTGTTGTTAGATATTATATCATTAGGGTTCATAGTCTTTTTTCCCGCCCTGTTGGAGAAAAGGGGTTTGTTGCGAAAGCGCTCTTGGAATATCGTCTATGGCCTTCTCAAAAAAAAAAAAATAATAAAAAAAAAAAAATAATAATAATAATAAAAAAGGTTTTGTGGAAAAGTGTTGTTAGATATTATATCATTCGGGTTCATAGTTTTTTTCCCGCCCTGTTGGAGAAAAGGGGTTTGTGCGAAAGCGCTCTTGGAAATATCGTCTATGGCCTTCTCAAAAAAAAAAAAATAATAATAATAATAATAAATAAATAAATAAATGAAAAATAAATGGTTTTGTGGGTGTTGTTAGATATTATATCATTCGGGTTCATAGTTTTTTTTCCCCCGCCCTGTTGGAGAAAAGGGGTTTGTGCGAAAGCGCTCTTGGAAATATCATTAATGTCCTTCTAAAAAATGGTTTTGTGGAAGTGTTGTTAGAAATATCATTCGGGTTTTTTTCCCGCCCTGTTGGGGAAAAAAAGGGGTTTGTGCAAAAGCGCTCGTGGAAATATCATTAATGTCCTTCTAAAAAATGGTTTTGTTTTGTGGAAAAGCGTTGTTAAAAATATAATTCGGGTTCATAGGGTTTTTTTCCTGCTCTGTTGATAATTAAAATATGTTATTGGAAAATATACCATCAGGGTTTAAGGTTTCCCCGCCCGGTTGATATAAATAAATTGTTTTTTTTTTATGGAAAAGTGTTATTGGAAATGATAATGTGATAACCATAGAGACGGTTTTAAAAGGATGGTGTTATTGTCGATAATATAATTATTATGGGGACAGTAGGGCTCTTGCGTGGCTTGGCTTGGCTAAGGGGGGGAGGGGGGAGGGAGCGAGGGTATTAAGGGAGGTTTTCGGAAAGGGGGAGGAGGAAAAGGAGGAAAAGAAGGAGGAGGAGAAAGGAGAGAAAGAGAGAAGTGGAATTTGGATTTGGGTATTGTGGATACAGAATAATCCCTCCAGTTCTTCAGTTATGCAAATCCACATTGACTCAATAAGTATCCATAATGCGTTTAATTAAAGAAGGATATGGACAGGTACAGTAACATCCGCTATTTCGAACATCTTCACACCCCTTGTCATGATTCATCAAAGAAAAACGAATGAAGAGGAAAAGAGAGAGGAGTTGAAATAACCAAGAAAAAATAATAAAAATAATAATCCGCACACATCAAAAAAGAAAAAAAAAGAAAAGAAATAAAAAAAGAAAAAGAAAAATAACATCAAAATCAAAATTACCAAGCAAAAAAAAAAAAAAAAAAAAAAAATCAACGCTTGGTGTGCGTATTCTCTCTCTCTCTCTCTCTCTCCCTCTCTTTCTTTCTCTTTCCCTCTTTCTTTCTCTTTCCCTCTATCTCTTCCTCTTCCTCTCTCATCTTTCTCTTTCTCTCTCTCTCTGTCTGTCTGTCTCTCCTCTTCTCTTTCTCTCTATCTCTTCCTCTTTCTCAGTCCTCGCTTGGCCGCACATCGTCAACGCCCCGAGGCAATGATAAATATATATAACAACTTCCGGTGCCTCGCTGTCGTTGCGTCATTTGTTTCATTTGTAAATATTGTTCGGTTTTCAAAATGTCTTTCGTGTTTGGGGGCAATTGTAATTGTTTTAGTAGTAGTAGTAGTAGTAGTATAATTATGATCATTGTTATCATTACTGCTTTAGTTATTATCATCGTTATTAATATATTACTATTATTATATTATTATTATCATCATCATTAATATCATTATTATTATTATTTATTATTATTATTATTATTTATTATTATTATTATCATTATTATTACATTATTATTATTATTATTATTATTATTATATATTATCATCATTATTATTACTATTACTATCATTCAAATCATTATCAATATCATCACCATCACTATTATCACCACGCAAGGAGCGAATGTGAAACCTCTCTCTAACAACACCCAAACAATTTCACTCGAGCCAATAACTGACCTTCCCTCACTCAACATTCACCTCGTCGCTACTTCGACCTTCCGGAAGCGAAATCCCGCCGATCCTGCACATTTTCCTCGGCAGTTCGGGTTCCCTGGATCGAATGTGGCGGCGACGTGTTAGCCTGGGGGGGGGGGGGGGGGGGGTGGCTGCTGTCGAGTGCGTTTGGCGGTCTATGGTCTGGGGTGCGCGCCGGGGTGTGAGGCGGAGGGAATGTAGGGTGGCGGTGAGCGTGATTCCCACCCCCACCACCACCCCAACCCCTCCTCCCTCTGACAGGAAATGTAGGGTGGCGGTGAGCGTGATTCCCACCCCCCACCACCACCCTTCCCCCCCTCTGACGGTCATCCATTTCCTTACTTCTACTTGGATCCACTTTCTTCTTCTTCTTCTTCACTTACCTTCCTTCCCCTTCCCTACCTACCCTCTTCTCCGCTTCTCTTCCCTTCCCCACCTCCCCTCCTCTCCCCTTTCCCACCTGCCCTCCTCTTCCCTTCCCCACTTCCCCTCCTCTCCCCTTACTTTCCCATCTCTTTTCCACTTCCCCTTACCTCCCCTCCTCTCCCCTTCCCACCTGTCCTCCTCTTCCCTCCCACTCTTCTCTCCATCCCTCCCTTCCTTTCCCCTCCCTTCACCTACCCCTCTCCCCTTCCCTTCCCATTCCCATCTGTCCTCCCCTCACCTCCCCTTCCCTTCCCCACCTCTCCTCACCCTCCTTTCCCCTTCCTTACCTCCCTCTCCATCCATCTCCCCTCCTCTCCCCCTTCCCTTCCCTTCCCTCCCTTCCCCACCTCTCCTCCCTCCTTCCCCTTTTCTTCACCTTACCTCGCCTTCCCCATCTCCCCCTCCTCCCCCTTCCCTCCCTTCCCCACCTCTCCCTCTCCCTCCCCTCCCGGAAGTAGGACGAGCCCGAATGCCTTTCCCAAGGAGACCGGACTGATCCATCCTTAACGAGGGTACCGTGACCATTTCTTTTTTTCTCTCATTCTCTTTATCGTTTCTTTTCTTTGCGTCGCTATATGGCTTGAAAACTGCAGGTCGGAGTGTTTAGAAATGTTAATAAAGAAGCCATTAGAACCCTTGATGAGATTCGCAGGCGTAATGGCGGGAAAAAGAGGAACATAAAGGGACACGTGCTTAAAATCGTTATGGCCAAGGGAACAATGGTATACGAGCCTAAACAAATGAATTATACAGCACGGTAAAGATTTTTTTTCCTAGAGGTAATCATATGCTGTGGTTTATTTTTATGTTCCGGATAATTATCTTAAATGAATGATGGTAGGGGTAATATGAAAATAAAAAGGAAGATATCGTTTTACTTCACGCTGCTTCCCAAGACGAAACAAATATACGTGTGTATATATTTCACATGTAACTATGTATGCGCATGTATGTACGTATGTGTATGTATATATGTATGCATTATACGCACACGTACGCATTCAACATTTCTCTTTTGTTTTCTCTCGTTTCTTTCCCACACCCAAACCCCACCGCTTTCCCTCAACCTCTTCCCACAAGATCCTGCCAACGAAAAACTCAAAAAAAGGAGAGAGAGAGAGAGAGAGAGAGAGAGAGAGAGAGAGAGAGAGAGAGAGAGAGAGAGAGAGAGAGAGAGAGAGAGAGAGAGAGAGAGAGAGAGAAAGAGAGAGAGAGAGAGAGAGAGAGAGAGAGAGAGAGAGAGAGAGAGAGAGAGAGAGAGAGAGAGAGAGAGAAATACACTCATAACCCACCGCTTACAACCCTCGACGGAAAACAACAGAGTGGTGAAATACCTGTCAAGCATATACACAAATTTCCGGACACAGGCAGGCCTATAGACACGCCCCCCCCCTCCCCCTCCCTCCACGGCGACCGAAACGCTACATAAACATTTGTCTTATGCGCATTCCAGGGCCCTGGTTTCCTCGCCTGCCACCACCACGTTCTCGTTCCATGATGGCGAGAATGTGATTCATTCGTCGAGAGAAAGGTTTATTCAGGTTCGGGACTGCGTTGGTGCTTAGGAGCGTGCGTGGGTGGGAGGGGTAGGAGGGGGCCTGTGTGGGGAAGGGGGCTGTGTGTAGGAGTGTGTAGGGGTGCGCGCGGTATGCGTGTGTGTGTGTGTGTGTGTGTGTGTTGTGTGTGTGTGTGTGTGTGTGTGTGTGTGTGTGTGTGTGTGTGTGTGTGTGTGTGTGTGTGTGTGCGTGCGTGCGTGTGTGCGTGCGTGCGTGCGTGCGCGTGCGTGCGTGCGTGCGTGCGTGCGTGCGTGCGTGCGTGCGTGTTGTCTGTACTGTTATTTTTATGTGTATGTGCATGCGTATGTGAGTATGCGCGCAACAATATTCATAGACAACGAATATGCGGCCGTTCCTCCCTTACACTAACCCGTGCGTGCACTGTTACCGTATCGCAAGCACCCATAGTACACCAGAACCAGCTGTGATACCAAGGGATTAAAATATCTATGACCCAGCTGCCTCTGCGTGCTAACACCCCCGTCGAACTCACCCACATACCCATCCAATGACACAAAGCACTCACTCACTCACTCACTCACATACACACACACAGATATTCCCTTCACCTATCACAAAAAAATAAAGATAGATAGATAGA